TTGCCATGAATAAGTCACCAGCAAACGGTTCACCATATTGCATACAATAAATGCCATCAAAAACCGAAACCATTTCAGGCACGTCAGTTAAAAGCAAATAGCTTTTCTTAACAGAATTGCTTATAAAAGAATAAAGGTTATTTCCAGCACACAGTATGGAATTTAATACAGTTGAATCCCATGCATTTGCATTTGTGATATGATTATATATTATCGCAGTCAAAGACATTGCTAAACATTGTTTACCAGCATTTTGTCGAAACTTTTTTGTATTTCCCTGACTAAAATCTGCACATATTGTTTTAGTTGGATCAACCACATCATATATTGTGGGTCCAGGATTTTCCTCTACATCATTTGCCATTCTCAACAACAGTGGAACATACACAATGTAGCCTGACATTTGAGTGAATAACACCATCACTTGATTAAAACGTTTTAAGCAAAATGGTCTGGTTATTTTGTGTAGCAGTGGCACAATGGCTTGCTGATTTGATTGTGTGGCAGTGGCACAATGGCTTGCCGATTTTGTTTGTAGCAGTGGCACAATGGCTTGCTGATTTATTTGTGTGGCAGTGGCACAATGGCTTGCCGATTTTGTTTGTAGCAGTGGCACAATGGCATGCTGAATTTGTGTAGCAAAGTCACAATGGCTTGCTAAATTTGGATGTAGTGGTGACACATAAAATATGCTCAAGTAACACATACGAACACATATTAATATTATGAACGTAATGACCATTATTATAACCAATTGAAATAACATCAACAATATACGACGAAAGCTATCTTGCAAACAAGTCGGGCAATTTTTCATTCGTATACAATTATGTGATCCAATGCGGGCACGATACTGCTCAATTGATATTTCCATAATAACAATATTTAATTAAAAACAATTAATTATCACTGTGATTATTTATACCCTGAACTACGATGTTCTACAAGCTCAAAAAGATTTTTTACACCACTTGTTTATATGAAGAGTTGTACGGCAGCACCTAAAAAAATTTAAAATAAAAATACAGTTGATTCATTCGTTTCGATGGATAAAACTATTAAATTCGACCAAAACAAATTGTTATATATTTGACAAAACTTTTATCTAATCATCTTACCTTGAAAAATATCTTCGATAAACAGTCAGACGTAGGAAAAATATTTCGATAACAGCCAGACAAGCAAGACATAAAATTTGCAGCAAGCTGGAATCAAAATTTACAACAGGCACGAGACAACGTGTTTAATATTTACAAATTATAATAATCCATGGTGGTGTTCGCGACTCTCAGCAAGGGTATTCGGAAAGTCAAATCGCGATCTGGAGTATGTTATTTAAATTTCTGTGACGTCAAAATACGTCATAAATCTGAAAATCCGTACATGCTAAATCGAGTTGTTGTTCGGCTATACATAACTCGGCCGGAAACGGACTGGTGCGAGAAAAACACATCGTCAAGAATAGTGTGCTGCCTGCGGCAGCAATTATATAATAATGCAACCCAATATTAAGCCCCCAGTAACCTTACAAATAGGCATCCCTTCCAAAAATCAGATTTCCCTTCCAAAAATAAGCTCTCCCTATTAAGGCTGCCTCGTACCCAGGTGTCTCTTTGTAAAAAAACAGTGATGCGCATATGATGAGTTTACATGAAGTATTGTAGTGGGGAGAGATGGGCGAAGGGGCTAATGGGAAGAGTGCACTTGAACCATACTTGACAGCCCCTTCGCGGGGCACCTTCGCGCAGCCCCTTCGCAAGTTTCAGGGCTAGTTTGTCATTTGCCTCACAGGAGTCAGGCTAACCTGGCAAGTGTTGGCAAGAAATTTGTGTGAAATGCTGGTTAATTTGTTAATGGCAACAGCTTCAGAAGGCTTATATTAAACAATTTCTTACTTACTTGGGCCAAATTGTGTATTATAACATGATTTTTAGTCGAGTGAGCAGAAGCCTGGTTGGCCATCTTATGACCTTTATTATTGTGAGACTCCCAATGTAGGATATCAACTTGCTGAAGCAGATGCTGGGCCAATAAATTTAACCAGGCTGTTCCTTGTGAATGCAATCTCAAACGTATATAAAATTAATATACGAGGCAGTATCTTACCATGAGCAGGACTGGTGTACATTTAGCCCATATAAATGGACAAAACCAGCTCGCCCGGTGTGATATACTACTCACAATACCTGGTTGATTCTACAAGATAGATTATGGCCTAAAATGTTCCAATTGTAGTTTCAGGATCTGTTAAGGGTCTGTTGATATGGGACCCTAAAGGCAAGTTCATGTTGCCCGGCGGGTTGTGGGATAGAATGTTTACTGTAAATGGTGAATTTCTTGGCTTGCATAGTTGGCATTCTGGCAATCATGTTGATCGCTACGCTGTTTAGCAAGAAATCGACATGTCAACTTGTCCCGGCCCGGAAGTGTCCTGTTTAGTTGTTACACAGGATATTAATAAGTTAACGTGAAAATATGAAGATAAAAGAATCTTTTAAAAAATAAAACCTCTCAAACCTCGATTTGAAAGGCTTTTAAAAACGCTAATCCGTTCGGAACCTACAAATTCGAACCTACATTCTGATTGGCTTAGGGCAAAAATGTAAACAAAAGCGAAATTCCCCCTTGTTGTTCCAAGTGGCTAAACGCTTCACAAATCCATCTTTTTGCCTAGCTTTGAAAGTTTAGTAATAAACGTCGGACATATTATACAAGTTTTATGGGTAAATATCAGAATTTTGCGCATGTTGCTCGTTGGAACTAATTGTTGAAGGGATTTGTTTGGGACCTGACCTAACCTGAAGTTCAGGCCTGAACTTCAGGTTAGACCTGAGCAGGAGCAGTTACCAAAAGTGCAACTATAGGCCCTATATGGCAGGAATCGAACCTGCGGTTTTACACGAGCCTGCAGTGTTACACTTGAACTGATGAACTTGTTATTATTATTAGAGCTCGACAACTGGACTCAGTAACTCAGTTCATTTGGTTAGAGCGCTGCACTGGAATCGCAGGTTTGCTTCCTACCAGAGGCCTGGGCCTATAGTTGCATTTTTCACAACTGCTCCTGGTTAAGACTAATAAGTTTATATAAATTATACTCGAAATTTCCGTCCATAAATTCCTTCAATATTTTTCAAGTTAGTCTGCAGTATGGACGTTATTAACAGTAGGAAGAATTACAAACTATTAATAGCTAGAGAATTAAGAGTTTTATTGAATGTAAACTTATTGAATATATTTAATATTTTATTAAATGGAACTTCGGTGGTGTAGTATTCGGAGCAAGCAGCGCATTTCACCTCTGAGTTCGTGGATTTGATTCTCGCTACGGACTCAGGTGAAAACTCCGGGTACACACGTAAAAATCTCACAACTTGTCAACAGGATGTTAGCATGCGCAAAAGGCCTGTAGCAAACTTGTCAACATTTTATCAAGTTGCTACAAGATTGTCACTCACAACTTGTTGCAGGACGATTGTAACAAGTCTGTTGAGCTCAAAACACTTGTAGCAAGTCAGTAAACACTTGTAGCAACAACTTGTCAACAAGCTGGGAACAAGCAGTGCATGTGAACACATCTTCTTGACAAATTGTTCGAACACAGCATTGTTACAAGTCTGCTGCAGATTTGTTACAACGTCTGCGTTATTATGCATGTGTACTTCAATTTCCTCCCACAGGGAAATTGCCCGGGTGGGGCAATTAGGACAAATCCTGCTCATATAAGAGCAAAAGTGACCAATACATAAGCACGTAGTGGGGGAGAGTTTATAACCATGGGAAGAACTAGAAGAAACATGGCGATTTTATATTTCTGGAAACTTTGTCGTTCTGACATTCCTTATATGATATTAATTGGTTAAATTATCTTTAGGAGAATGAGTTTTTCTTTCGGGTTTATAGCCAATGCTTGCGACAAAAACGTCAATACCTTAACCAGGTTCACCAATGTAAACTGGACCACATTCACAAGGAATGGGGTACATACCAGGTTTCTGAGATTCATTCACGTTGTCATTATGTGTGTAAAGATGAAAGATCTCGAAACAATTTTTTTTCACTGATACTTTGGCCTACCACAGAGAGCCTACCAGTCTCTACCGTTTTAAGTATATTTGAGACAGAAAGGATTTCAAAAGTATCAGAATTTCTGATACTTTCGACTACCAGTCTCTGCGGTTTCAAGTGTATTTCACGTATAGGGGATTTGGAAAGTATCAGAATTTCTGCCACTTTGGGCATCAGTCTTTGCAGTTTTTAATATATTTGACATATATATATATACAGGGGATTTTAAAAGTATCAGAATTTCTGATACTTTAGACTACCTGTCTCTACTGACAGTTTTAAGTATATTTGAGATAGAGAGGATTTCAAAAGTATCAGAATTCTGATACCTTGGAATTTGGACTACCAGTTTCTGCAGTTTTATGTATATTCCACATATAAGGGATTTAAAAAGTATCAGAATTTCTGATACCGCGGGTCACCTAGGTTTGACCGCGGGTGAACCGCGGTTCGGCCGCGGTTGAACCTCGGATCGCCGGAGGTTGAACCTCGGATCGGTCCCGGAGCCTCGGATCGTTGTGTGGGCGAAGTGAGGCGGAATCCGAAGGCGACTTTGCCGAGTGCAAATATTGTATTATAAAAATCAGAATTAACAAGATTTTTGCGATTGTAAATGTATTCAGAAGGTTGGAAAGCAATACAATGGGAAAGCTTTGTATTCTCGAAGATCGGAAGATGTATTGTGTCTATCTTATTACCCAATCCTCAATTATATCGAGCTATATCATACATGCATTTATAATAACAATATAATTATAGGAGAAAGCAACTATGAATAATATATTGAAAAAACTCTTACCATTGAGTTTGATTATTGTAGCCTTCATGTCAGCCTGATAATCCTGTCCTTCGTAGTCTATCATAACTGCAACCGCTTCTATCAGTGCATTGCCACCGATACTGTCTTTTAATAAACTTCGTCCCTTGAATGCACGTACGTGCTTTTATCTATTGCGAAGTACACCAACATTCGCGTGGCTGTACTAACACGTGTCTTATACAGTGGTGTAGTCCTGGAATGTTTACAAGGGGGGCTCTTCAACAGGGGCGAAACTTCGGTATTACGGGGGGGGGGGGTGAGCTTGTTTTTCCCGACCAAAAGGGCGTTTCCGAAGTCGTTCCTGAGGGACGAACATTTGATCAGTCGCTATTGGTGAGCGGAGCATTTTTCACTACCACTTTTCCTACCACTATATTAGTTTTCAATCTGAGACATGAAAATATTTTCAAAATTTGCCTGACTGAATTGTATGGGTATACACGGTGGGATAGAGACAGGGGGTGTCACCCCCCTACACACACACCCACCCGGGTAGTTTCGTCCCTGTTCTCCAAACGTGTCCTGAACTGACGGGGGGAGGTGGTGTTTACAAAATGATATTTTGGAAATTCTAAATTTTGTTGGTTTTTTTTTCTAATAATTGGGAGGAGGTTGATAATTGTGGGACAAATATTCAAAATTACTAGGCTTATTAAAAACAATTGCCGTTAGTAATTTAAAATATTCTGAGCGTCTCAAAAGGCTATGTGATTCAAGGTTTCTGCCCACTTTTTGTAGATGTAATTCTAAAGAACATTCTCGTTTAAGATTAGGCAAAAATTATTGGGGGGGGGGGGAGTCGACATGAACTTTTAACAAGAGGGGCTCAGTCCTCCTGATACCCCCCCCCCTCTACACCACTGGTCTTATATCGCGAACTCATTTTAAAATAAATCTTCTAAACCGCCTTCTTTACTCTTCAGCTAGATTTCTGAGTTTTCTCTTATTAAGCTTCAGTAGAACGGCAACGGTGCGTTGTAAACAATGAGTTATGTTCAGTCGAGACATGCTGTATATTATGTTTAAATAGCTACTGCAACTGTTGCTGGGTGCCCAATTAAAGATTGTCATATACCAAAATAGAAAAAGAACCATCACTAAAATAAATATCCGAAACGTTTTAAGTGCTAATTACATTCCACATAATCCTAAAGAGTATCAAGCGTTACTAATTAGTTACCGTGATGATCTTTCTAGACAATAGCATACAAAAACTCGCTTGGCACTATACTGTATAGCCTGGTTCACATTTATCGTAAACATCGGCGATGCCCATTGTCGGTGGTCATTGATGCATAAAATGTTCAGTTGTGCATTTTCTTTTTTGTTGCTCACAGACAATGGATCATACAGGGTGTATTAAAATACTTAGCTTATACAGGGTGTATAAAAAAAAAGGAGACATTAGAAATCAAGCATATTGTTAAAATTTGAATGCCTTTTCAATTGCACATATGCTGAGCATATATTAGAAAAAGGAGACCTTTAGAAATTAAAATAACGTTTAAACAAAAGATTGTCTGCTCCTGGGAACAATCTGCCATGCATATACTGTACGTAGATCGCATGTTACGCACTCGTGGGCTTAGCAAAGTGCTCCAGGATTCAAACTATAACAATGGTTGATTTCTAAAGGTCTTCTTTTTCTAATATTTGCACTCATCAATATTTAATGCACCACGGTTCAGCATATGTGCAATTGAAAAGGCATTCAAGTTTTAACAATATGCTTGATTTCTAAAGGTCTCCTTTTTTTATACACCCTGTATAGTTATTCAAAACTGACTCAATAACAAAGTATATGTCGTCAGTGACAGCGTCGAGTTTCAGTTTAAATCTTTTTTGTTTATACGCAATGCAAAAAGTGTTGCCAACAATGGCCAAGTCAAATAGGCCTACATGTATGTTGATCATTCTTTGCGTTTGGAGTGAAGAGTCACGCTTAAAATCACCAGGAAACTTAAAGGATAATTATAATAACCACACAGTACGGCCAAGGTCCTACGGATGAATTATCGGTAGGATTATTATACGTGAGCTAGGTTAATTCGATTCCTTTGCTGATATGGTCTTGATAGTCATACACGGAGGTATAAGGACAAATCAAAATATACAGTATTGTGAAAGGTATAAGAATACTTTGCTAAGAAATAAGTGTTTATATATATACGGTTTGACTTTTACCGGCATGGCAGTATTTGAAGCCATATATACAGCCTTTAATCTAGCTAAATGACGCATTAATTACCTACAGTATATATTAGGCAATATAGCCGCTGCCCGCTGGTATGCACTGCTTGTAGTTGAAGGCTGTATGGAACGGTACAACATATCTGATCGATATTGAGGAACCACAAAAGCCTTCTCACTTCTGTCGTGAGGGAAACAAATTACTAATCTGATGTATATCTGTTCGAGTTCAGTAAAAGCGCGACTAACTCGATTTTCCAAGCCGTTGTAACTTATTGATAAAAAATGCATGCCTAATTTCTCAGTACTCGATCGAGCTTAGTTTTAATTTCTTGGTGTAATTTCCCGGATGAATTATATTTTATACGGGTATCAAACTCATATAGCAACTTTATCCAGATTCAAATTACCGTGCATGGTCTGTGCCATAAACGTAACATTAAAAATTGCGCGAGGGAAATTACCATTCAATGTCAATTATCACACAAAGATCACAGAATATTTATCACTCACTATTCCTCCATTCTAACAATAACGCTTTTCCAAAACAAGAGTGTTTTAGGTGAAGTTTTTTCTACTAAATTTGCGTCGTCCATAGATATAAACACTTTTGAAAGTTTTGAGAAATGAGAATAACAAATTAACAATTACATGTAACAATAACAATTGACAAATTTCTCACAAACTCCCCCCCCCCGGTATTTTGAACTATTGGGCGTGACTTCTGGCAGAGGTTTCCCGCTTTCTTCGATAACACCGAAACCTCTGCGGAGGAGAGAGAGGCATGTACCGTATATTTAAGATATAAGGGATTTGAAAGAATTTCTGATACTTTGGACTACCGGTCTGCAATTTTAAGTATCTTTGACAAACAGTACCGAGGATTTCAAAAATATCAGAATTGCTGATACTTTGGACTACCAGTCTGCAATTTTAAGTATAATTATTTGAGATAGAGAGGATTTCAAAAGTATCAGAATTGCTGATACTTAGACAACCAATCTCTGCAGTTTTAACTTTTAAATATATTCGAGATATACAAGGTTTCAAAAATCGTAGGTATATTTCGGAAATTGTATATTTTCATCGGAGCATCTCACTGTCTTTAAAATTTTACGCTGCTTAGTAAGGTGCATCTATATTTTCGCATTTCCAAGATAATATATTGTAGTTTGCTTATTCGCAATTCTTGGTAGTCCGTATCCTCTATTTTGCAGAAAAAATTCATGGTCAGCAAGATTTTTTGAAAATGATTGTTTATGTTGACGAGTTTTTCCATGGAAACAGTTTTCACGCTTTAAGCGTGATTTTACATCTTGCTTTTTTCTCAAATATCATTTTTTTTTTCGACGTATTTTACAGATAGTATAAAGCCATTCACACATTTTTAAAACATTTTTTTTATATTTTACGGAAAATTAGCACAAAATCTGCAAAATTTTGAATTTTGGAAAATGCAAAAATAGTTTGGAAAGCGTTATTTTTAAGTGTATAGCAAAATTATTAATTTGGAATGAACTGTAAGCGATCTTGCGATGTGAAGGGCACATCGCCCGTACTATTTTTTGCAATTGGAAACGCTCTCTAACTATATATAATTGTTTCCAGGTCTTGAGTCAATCTTCTCAATATACAACGAAGTTAATGTGCTTTGTAATCTATCTTCCTTTTCTTTCCTCGTTATTCATCTACCTATACCGTATAAGAATGGGTTTTGCCTTTTTGGCCAGTGTATACAGTCCGGACATAGTAATCTGAGTGTAAGACTAAGATTATAGTTTGTATGATGGTGAAACTACCTATAAATATACTAAAACTGTCTGTACCAGTGTTGGTAGTACCAATGTGAGTGGTTATATTACTACCTTAACGAAGGGCCTTCGCTCGAAACGTCGAGTTTCTGCTTATTTTTTAAGGTAGTAATATAACCACTCAGCGCAGCATTGAAACTACCTATAATGCTATAGATACGGTATAGCTCGACATTCACAGAGGGACTTTGTTCGCTACTTTCTGATTAAGAGACTTCGCTTAAAACGGTTGGTCCGTCTTTTTGCAAAGTTTCAACAACGCGTAACAGCGGTTTTAAGAAGTACCTACGTTCCATGCGTTCAGAACCAGCGTTAATAACAAAACGTTTTGTGTTAGTTCAACTCACTTGAATGTTTAAAAGTAGCAAATATTACCGCCCGTGTTCTAAAAGCTCACTCACACTCACACTCAATGAGTGGAGGTTCAATCTGAGCTTCTCTTGAGCGCCAACGCTATTTTTGAATAGCTGGAGCGCTAGTGTCATACCTTACTATGTGACTGCTCACCCTCTAGCTATTCAAAAACAACATTGACACTCAAGAGAAGCTTGGATTGAACCTCCACTCATTGAGTGTGAGTGTGAGTGAGCTTTTACAATATGGACGTACGTTGTTATAAAACAATGAAACTTTCCACTTTTAATTTGCATTCACTGATGTGGGTGAATATATAAACAAGAAAAGAAGTTCTGTAATGACAATTAGGTGCATGCGCATCACTGGGGAAGTCGTCTTTATTTGCTTTGGAAACAAACTAAATTTAAATTTATCCCTGGACACCGTGGAGCGTGGTGTGGCCAGTTAAACCACGGGTATACCTGCGCATGCCATGCAAGGTATCTATTCCCCACCAATCACGATGCAGCGTAATATGAGATCATAAGGAAAACAAATGAAATTATAAACTTATACTCTGAGGATTTGTTTCAATTGTTCAAGTTTTGTATAAAAATAATTTCAAAAGACCAAATGCATTATGTACTATTTAAAACACTTGTAGTCGTAGTGTTTTATCATATTTAAAATGCGAGTGCGCACCATGCACGATCATTTCAGATATGATAAAACACGACTACAAGTGTTTTAAATAGCTTTAAACACGATCACAATAGATGCCGTCTCATTACTATTCTTTATATAAAGAATACTAATTAAGATAGACTTTTATATAAAGAATACTAATGAAGATGAGTTTTATCAGGTTTAAAGCCTCTTCTAGCCCGCGTGCAGGCCCAAGGGAACTGATAGTGGGCCTGCAAGCAAGGCCTGGTATTTTGTACTTTCCGCGTTCGCCCACGAACGCGGCATTCTGATTGGCTGTTTGCTGTTGGATTCTATAATTAGGTCAGTGATTCATCGCAAAGGCTCTCGATAAGCTTAAAATTCGAAAATTGATCACATTTTTCGATTATAAATGGTACAAGAACAGACTGTTTATTGTTTACTTGAAAGAAGAGATATTTTTGCCGTTATGCCAATGGGGATTGCTTGTCGTGAGGTGTTGGAATAGCAACATTACGACCAGGGCCGCCCAGAGGGGGGGGGCAAAGGGGGCAAATTGCCCCGGCCCCCGAGTTGCTAGGGGCCCCTGAAAAACCTTTGTAGGGCCCCAGCCTTTTTTGTGTGTTAAATATTTCCGCGCAAAGGACAAGATATCTGTTTTCTTGGGCTAAGTACCGAATTTTGGCATAAAAAAATGAGATAAAGTCCCTCGAAAGCATTTGCAACGTACTCGTCCGGCAAAATTTTGTACTCCGTAAAAAAATTTTTACCCCTAAAATGGTACACTGACCGAAAATTTTTTGGCGACGGGGGGGGATTTTTTGGCGACGGGGGGGAGGTTGTTATCCGGAAAAATTTTTTTCCGGGAAAATTTTTTTAGATAGGGGCCCCTAAAAAAAAAATTGCCCCGGGCCCCCCCCAACCTCTGGGCGGCCCTGTAAACAGCAGCCGAACCCGGTATGAAAATCGCTACGCTCCGATGTAATCCGGTATAGTGTAAACGGGGCCTCTGTTATTCTTCTCTAAGACTATGAAAAAAGACCTTATTTGCAAGTTTTTGCAATCTGGCTCTGTAATACTGTATGTATTAATATTAAATGTTTTGTTTACATGCAGTGCCATGCTGTATGCAGAAAATTGATCGTCTGTTTGATTTAACAAACAATGTTTACAATTCTATAAGTAGGTTGATAAAGGAAACCCCGGTTTCCTGTGGAAATTGCATGCTAGGAAAGAATGCGTCTGGTTCAAATGCCCAGTCGATTTCTGCTAGGGATATCGGCGAAAATATGAGGAAGTGTAACGAATTATCTATTGAACTCGAAGATGTGACTGAGTTAGATGCCGTAATAACGGAGTCGAGACTCTCCAATAATATATACCAGAACAGTAAAGCGATTGAGCAAATTCATAGTCAAATGATTAACATGCAAAATATACAAAATATAACAGATAAGCGGTCAACCATCGCGAACAGAGAACAATCAGATACTCATACAATTAGTAAACAAAACGAAATCAGTGAAAACCCCTGTAATAAATCAGTTGTTCTACAGGATGAACAGTTTTGTTTATCACATGGGCATCAAAGTGATAAACTACAGAGTAAATTAGTCAGTAACAATTCTAATAGTGTTCGTGATTATCAATGTGAGAATTCTAAATCAAACTGCAATACCGTAGAAGCTAAGGTACACCATGCCACAAGGTCAACCAATTAGACGGTGTAAAACCAAAACGACGATACCTATGTGTTTGGGAAACTTGCCACTAATTGAGTTACCATCATCAAATATGCAGAAAAATAAACAAAGTAAGCTTCCCAATAAGAAGAAGGTTTACTCGAAGCGATACATGCAGGCATGGCTATTACGCAAAACGACAAATTAATACTCAATCCCAACGTGGCATAACTAAAATCACCGATCGGATTCCACTAGACGCTGTGAGTGAAATTCCCAAGCATCAAAGGAACCATCAGACATCACTCCATTCCGCTCACCTGACAAATACTCGACGGCGCCGTTTAAATCATCGGCCTCACCCAAATCACCCCCTTACCCAAACCTTCGATACGATCAAAATTACCGGTCCCATCAGAATCATCGACCTCATCAGAATTTCCAGTCCTATCAAAATTTCCAGCCCAACCATCAACCACAACAAAATCAGAAAGATTGGTTGAATTACCTAGAATTTGTTCATGGGATGATAAGAAAATAACTTAGCTATTCCTGTTAGAATTACACAGAGACAAAATTATCACCACTGTAATTCTAATAATAATACTTCAAACATTAACTCAAAGAGACGAAGTAACTTGGTACCTATTAATTTAACATCCACAAGAAAGGTTCCTTCGAGAGAGTCGGGTTTTGCTGTTCCTAAGTTTATGTTCGTCAATACATGTAGTTTGGCAAAAACAAAAAATAGAGTACGAGCTGTAGTTGCACTGGAGGCAGACTTGGTCAATAACGATATAGATGTATGTGTGGTGAGCGAGAGTCACCTGAAACCTGAAATGCCAGATGCTGTGGTGACCATTCACAATTATTCAATATTTAGAAGAGATAGAAGTTGGGAAGGACGCGATATGAGAGCAAAAGGAGGGGTAGCAATATATGTTCGGTTACCTACAGGAAACCGCATGTCGATATATGGCCTTTATCACCCACCTAGGCACAATTATCTGGAGAGCGACTTATTGGATTATTTGATAAATATTTCTGACGACGTTCTGGACAAATATCCAGACACTGTAATTGTTTGTGGAGGGGATTTGAACAGTTTGGACATAAAACACTTTGAGGAACTATCATGATGGGATGCAATGGTCGACTTTTCAACAAGAGGTAACGCATGTTTGGATAACTGCCTTACAAATAGAATAGATTTGTTCTCAAAATGTTATCCTTTCCACATGTTAACTAAAACAGACCACATGGGGGTTATTTAACCAGCAGGAACGAAACTAAAACCTATGCGCCGAAAGGTTGAATTTCGGGATTGTAGAAAGCATCGAAAGGAAGATTTCCACAAAGCTTTAGCAGAAGAAGATTGGGAGGATGTATCGCAGTCCACGAATGTAAATGACGCTGTGAATTGTCTTGAACGTAAGATCATGGATCATATGAATAAATGTATGCCCACAAAAACAGTCTCAATTTCGTCACGTGACCCTTACTGGATGAGTCCTTTAATTAAATCTTTGCTAAAAGCTAAATCCAGCATTGCTCGGTCGCAAAAGGATAGACTCAGCGGTTTAATTAACAAAAGGATTTCTGATGTCATTTGTCTAAACAGAAGAAATTTTAGGGCCTTGGTGGGAAGTAGAACTTGGTGGAGAAAGACGAATGATATTTCTCAGCGAAATGCATCGTCATCAAGAGTTACTTTGGATAATGCATCACTTGCAAGATTAAATCGCTACTTTGGCCAACTCTGCCACGACGATAATTATGTCGAACCGACGCTCTCAATTATTGGTGATGAAGTAGATATTCCTAGCTTCACGGAATAGCAGGTATGGAATGCCTTGAAAAGAATAAAGAGGACAGCAACAGGTCCCGATTATATTCCCTATTGGGTTTGGAATGATCATGCGGAAATTCTAACCGAAGTTATAACTAACGTCGGGAATTTGTCCCTTTCATCACATACTTGGCCAGGTTCATGGAAAAGAGCGAATATTAACCCTCTTGCAGAGGTTGATTTACCAAAGGAAGATGGTGACTTTCGTGGAATAAATATTACACCTGTAATTGCGAGGACCTTCGAAAAGCTCGTTTATAATAGTCAGGTCAAGTCGACAGTTGAGGAAATTTTATCCCCAACGCAATTTGCGTACAGGCAGGGGGGGGGGAGTTGTACAAACGCTCTGTTAACTATTCAGAACAAAATACTCAGCTTCTTAGATAGAGCGGACTGCAAAGCAGTTAGACTGTTTTCTATGGATTTTAGCAAGGCTTTCGACTCAGTGAAACATTCACTCCTCTCGGAAATTTAAAAACTATGGAACTCAACCCTTATATCATAAATTGGTATTTAAATTTTCTAAAGAATAGAAAGCAAAGAGTCGTTTGTAACGATTTTTGTGGAGAATGGATGGATGTTAATAAGGGTACAACACAGGGGAGCGTAAGTGGCCCATACCTTTTTAATATTTTCCTAAATGATTTAGAGGTGGACATAGACGGCGAGAACGCTCTTTTTAAATATGCGGACGATTCAAATATAATAGTGCCAGTTTGGAGTGAGGGTCCTGATACATCAACAGATACAGTTGGACAATTCCTGAGCTGGTCTGATGATAATTTTATGACTTGTAACCATGGTAAATGGAAAGAGCTTATCATCCGGAACAAGGGATATAATGATCAACTTGACAATGTTTATAATATACCCCAATGCAAAGAACTTCCCATTTTAGGTACTACTTTTCAAGACAATCTCAAGTTGACCAGTCATGTGCGAGGTAAATTGGTCAAAGCAAACAAATGCTTGTACGTTATACGAACACTCAGGACAGAAGGCTATAGCCAATGTGAGATAGATTATCTATTTAAGACCCTAGTAATATCTACTATAACGTTTGGCCTGTCCGTCTACGGTTCTTCTCCATCCGAACTCAATACTCTACAACGGTTTTTTGACAGATGTTTTAAGCGAAAGTATATATCAGAACCTGTAAATATTAGATATCTTTTAGAAATACAAGACAGAAATATTTTTAAGGCTTCTGTAAATCAGAAGAGTGCCATATATAGTCGACTTGATACCAAGAAAAAAATCCACAAGCTACTCTTCAAGGACAGAGTTTAGTCAGTATCCAAGAGTGAACGCGGAACGTTTTAAATTGTCGTTTGCAAATAGATTAATTTTTAACTATAACCTATTCATATGATGTAAACTTTACTAATGTATTCCTAATATATACTTGCAACATAAGATATGTATTTTTATCTTTTGATCTATTAAAAAGACTTTTGAATTGAATTGAATTGAATTGAATTGGGCCTAGAAGTGATTTAAATTCTTGCCTACTTCTTTTGCCCGCTATGAAATTAGTTACTTTGGATCGCTTAGTACTTTCTGCTATATTTTGCTTTCCGACAGTCTGCTTGAACGTTTCAACACTTTTGGCTACTTGTACCCTTTCCGAATAATTCCACGGATGCCATTTTTTGTCTTTTTCCTTGCCAAACTGGCCGTTTAGATCGGTGGTGTCTTTGCTAGAAACATTGGCAAATGAGCAAAAATATGTGGCACTATTAGTCAACTCACCGCACAAAAATTCAATCATCTTCAAATCGTTAGGGAATTCCGAGATATGAAATTTGATATCAACTGTACATGTCTGGCCTTCTAATGTAATGTATGTGCATTTAAAGGTTTGTTGTTCAATGTGTTGTACATCAGACACTAGCATCTTAATATAACGTTGAACTGGAATGCAATTTTCTGAACAATTAGCACCGAATAACAAAAAGTTTTCATTGCTACTCAAAATTCTTCGGTCAATGTTCAAAAATCCAACCAACCACGCACATATATGCAGTATCATGTTTCCCAAAAGGCGCCCCATCACCACCCAGGGAAACATAAAACTTGCGTTCTTCCTCAAACCACACAAGTGTGTGACCACTACAACCGCTTAAATAAAATTCTGCCAACTTTATCAACAATTCTGTGTACCTTGTATTCCTCATCAAGACCTTCACAAAGTGTTTCATATACACTATACATAGATCCTACTGGTATAGACTTGATAAAAGGCATTAATTTGTTATGTGGCACAAGCCTATGGATGGGACAATTATTAACGGATAGCCGAACATGGTTTTTACCCTTACTTTGCATAGCAATCTTGTAGCTGGAATCTTTGTATATTTTTCTATACCTTTTTTTTCCGGCTACACCACCGCTATAATATACTGAAACGCTGCGAATCATGTTTTCAGTGGAAGACTCAAATTCTGCTAACTTAGGCTTGTAAATACTAGGCATAACTGATTGATTAAACTTTTGATTAACCGACATTACATCTACTAAAATACTCTGACTAGAGTTAAGCAATGCTGTGTCCAGAATCCCTATTGCTCCCGGTACGTCTGTTTCTTCACTTCCACCATGAATTTTTTGAGCTGCAGCAATTTTTTTTTCCTGTCTGTCTCAGTACAGATGAACTAGATGAGAATTTCTTATTTTGAAACCTTGTAGGATGTTTCTTTCTACTCTCCACTTCTCTGTCTGATAGAATGCTACACTGGGTAAACCTGCACTTCTCTGGCAAGCTATCAACCTCATCTTCCAAATTCGAAATCTACAGTATATATAAGTAATAAAAATAAGCTGTATATTCAATACACTGCTTATTATCTGCGGAAAACCTGTAAATATAAATGCTCTGTGACTGTACCTTTAAAATTATATATTACGACTGCTCATGTTGCATATTATAATGCCCTTTAAAACTATACAATAAGTAAACAAGAATATACTAATGAAGTCCATACCTTGGCATCCATGCGTCTATTTCGTTCTGGTAAACCTCGTAATAGTTTATCTTTCCTCTATAGCTCCATTTCTAACTGAGAAACTTCTTCTTGAGCGTCTCTAAGGTTTCTATTTGTCATGAAACCCACATTGTGCACTTCTTTGCACTTTTTCATATATTCCCCAACTTTAAAATGTGGCATCGCGTGCGCAGTTCATATGCCAAGTAAAAGTCTCTCAAATCACAGGTTGGCATTCAAATATCAATAAACAAAAAAGAAGGCGACAAAATATTGGTATTGAACCACCTCTCCACGAAGATTCGATGCAAATCAATAAACTATGTCAAAAATTTAACAAGGCAGAAAATGCCGTTTATATCAGGCACGCATTATTGCCCATATTTTGTAGATTTTCGTCGATCAAAAGCAACGGCACTCGTCTGAGCAATGCCGCCATGCTGGATATCAAAATGAACGTTGAGAAAGACGCTTTACGGCGGTACACACAGAAACATAAACGAATCAAACCGATCGTCTTACGTACGGCCAAAGCATTGCCATCGAGCATGATCGCTATTTCGTACTTATTCTCCCAAAAACATGGCGCGGCCAAGATGGCGGAACGTCACGAAAACGCCAGGCATTTTTGGCGTCATTCGTGCCCAGCGTGAAGGCTGCCACCGGGTTTGCGTATTATTGTAACAAAGAAGATGCAAGAGGATGAATGGTTTTTGGATAAACTTATGACAATCTTTCAACAGGAATTAGAGGCTAGAGAAAGAGCAAATCTACAGTGTTTACCTTCGTCAAACTCCAGTTATCAACGAAATAAACCGGCAACAGCTACTGCTCTTTTCGAGGGACTGCATGATACTACCTGTTCTTATGGTCAAGGACAGCACTTATCTGCAAACTGCAAGATAGTGACCAATGTGGCTGCAAGGAGAGATATTCTGAAACGAAGTGGACGATGTTTTGTATGTTTAAGAAAAAACGTATTAGTACGGAAAGCCAATCGAACATCAAATGTTTTAAATGTGGTAGACGATATCATGGAAGTCTGTGCATGGGCGGCCAATCTCGACAAGAACTCCCCAACTCTGACCCACCAGCCAACTAGCAAGAACCTCAGCATCCACGTCAGCCTGCAACAGAGACTGAGAAAAGGGAAGAAACTGGAATTGGTGGTAAGAACTTACCAGCACAATCGAACAGAGAATGAGATGAACATCAACAGCAGCAAGCTACTTGAAGTCAAACCATGTACGTTGGCACAAGAACATCCATCTTGTTGCAGACAGCGAAAGTCAACATATACAAGCCCGGAATGCAGGAAAACAGAGTAAATGCTCGATTTATACTGGATAGTGGGAGCCAACGCTCTTTCGTGACAACCAGAGTGAAGAATCAATTAAATCTTGATGCAGACATATTCGGAGACCAAGCAGAGAAACTACAAATATGTGAATTTCTGCACTTCAACATTGAAGCAGAATCAACTTATCCCGATATTTCACTTTTAGCATTTGTAGTACCCACAATTTGTCAACCCCTCAGACACCAAACAACTCAAGCGGCACAGGAAATTTACCATAGTCTCAAAGGTCTTAATCTTGAAGATCTTGATACTGGCTAAGAAGAGTTATAATTTGATATTTTGGTGGGATCTGATCAACATTGGAATTTAATAACTGGAGTAATTAGACGGGGAGATTCTGGGCCCAACGCAATGGGAACAAAGGTCGGATGGGTTCCATCTGGTCCTGTAACAGATCCTGTGAATGAGAAAACCAGTGTTAACTTGGTGAACACGCATGTTCTGAATTTTGCAACACAACAACTGACCCCTGATGTGACAGATATGACACAAGAATTACGACGATTGTCTGAAATAGAATCATTAGGCGTTTTCCCCAATGACGAGTCAGTCTATGAGAAATTCACACAATTAATCAAGCTGAAAGATAAACGATACGAAGTGGAATTGCTATGGACGGAATTTCATCCTGTCCTTCCTGACAACCACCAACAGAGCGAAAAACGGTTGAAGCATCTACTAACACGATTGAGAAAGGGTCCAGAGATACTGCCAGAGTATGACAATGTCATAAAGGAGCAACTAAAGGAAGGAATTGTGGAAGTATCCGATGAGCAACACCCTGGAGAAATTGGTAAGGTTTGTTACCTTCCGCGCCACGCAGTAATACGAAGAGACAAATCCACAACGAAGATGAGAATTGTATATGATGCCTCGGCAAAAGAAATGGACCATCTTTGAACGACTGTCTATATACAAGTCCGGCATTGGCCCAGAACATACTTGATATTCTTCTTCGGTTCCGTTGTCACAAAGTCTCTCTTGTTGGGGATATTGAGAAGGCCTTTCCTATGCTGCTGATCCAAGAATCCGATCGAGATGTTGTACGTTTTTTATGGGTGGATGACATTAAAAATCACAACCCAAAGATCACAACGCTATGATTTACAAGAGTGGTATTTGGAGTTTCCTCAAGTTCCTTCCTCCTGAACGCAACAGCTAAGCACCATATGGAACAGTATCGAAACATTGACCCAGAATTTGTTGAAAAAAATCTTTGAATCCATTTACGTTGACGACTTAAACGCAGGTGATAAAAACGACACCGAAGCGTTCCTGCTTTAAAAAAAAATGGAAGATTCGACTCGCAGGAGGAGGATTTAACTTGAGAAAGTTCTTCTCGAACTCACCTACATTGATGAACCGAATAAATGAGAATAAAGCCAATTTGCTTGCAGACTGCAATGATGAACAGGATACTCTCCAAACCAGTGAAGGTATTAATCAAGGTGAATCGAGATCAAGCCAAACATTGAGAATGGAACATGACCAGTCATACACAAGGGAGACAACTCAAGACTTGTCCGAACCAGTCGAGAAATGTGAACAAAAGATTTTTGGAGTTAAATGGAAGTATCAAGAGGACTGTTTTGTGTGTGATTTTGGACCAATTGCACAGGCAGCAAAGAAATGCGAACCAACGAAGAGGAATATCATCAGTATCGCATCGAAATTCTATGATCCTCTTGGATTTATCTCACCCACCATTGTGCAAAGGAAGCTATTATTTCAGATCTGGTGTGACAGTGGAATTGATTGAGATGCACCCATAACCGAGAACTGAAATCGAAGTGGTTAAAACTCGTTGATGATTTGCAAGAAACAAAACCAATGACACTTCCTAGATGCTATTTTGTGCACATTAAGGAGAAGGTCTTATCTCGCCAACTTCACGGGTTCTGCGATGCCGCAATTTCAGCTTATGCAGCTGTGGTGTACCTTGTAGTTACGACCACAACGCGGAGATATGCAACATTTGTCACAGCGAAGACAAGAGTAGCACCGAGTCAGAAACTGCATTTATCCGTGCACGACTTATGAAGAATATAATACCTATGAAGTACTCAAATCTGTTCTAGAACTGGATGAAAATGTTGTAGGTTGGACAGTTCCGTTGGTCAACTTATACTTGATAAGAGGAAAAACCAAAGAATGGAAACAGTTTGTCCAGCTGAGAGTTAATGACATTCGAAGCCTTATCTGCTCATCACCATGGCTACACTGCCTCGGCGTAGATAATCCAGCAGACATCCCAACTCGAAGCATCAAGTGTTTACAACTCGGACAGTGTGAACTTTAGCGAAATAGACCCTCGTGGCTGTCAGAAGAATTGCAACCTAAAGACGAATTGATAGACGAGCCTTCATCTTCGGAAGAATGTTTACGTGAGCTGAAGAAGAAGCCACACCATTCACCAACTGTGCTGTTAACCGAAGCGACAGGTCAAGGTATAAAGACTTAATGAACATTGCGACATTCTAGAATTTGCGACATTCTCGAAATACCATCGGCTTCTAAGAGTTACGGTGTATGTTCTAAGATTTGTTCGAAAATTGAATGCCAACGTGAAGAGAAGATCTGATAAATCCCAAGAAAGGTTGAAGAATTCTTGGCCGGAAGAGATGAACGAAGGTGAAACGCTGTAGCTAAAGAAAATGCAAACATCACTTCCCGGACATTTGAAGTATCAAGATTGAAGACGGAAAATTGGAATATTTGTCGACGAGAAGGGGATAACTAGATGCGGTGGAAGATTGAAAAATGCCAATATTCACGAGTCAGCGAAGCATCCTATCCTGCTCGATCCACGACATCAGCTAACACGTATTATCGTAAGATATTGCCTTGAAAGAGTGAACGAGAAACGTCTGGCTTTACACGACGGAACATGCCAATGGTTTTCGAAGCTTTTTTACTAATGTTATAAATCTGCTTATCCCAGCACAGCACAGTTGTTTGTCAACCAAGACGCCTAAGGTCTTTTTTGATTCCACCACTTTTAACACTTTCCCATCAATAGATGCCCTAATGTTTTGAAAAAGATTACTTAACATTTGACGTGTTCCAGTGATCATGTATTCTGGGGTTTTTTCACGTTTAGTGATAATTTGTTTGAAAGAAGCTATTGATGAATATTTTCTAATTCATTATTTAAGGAGTCTTCCACATTACATAAACTAGATGAACGGGCTGTAATATTTGTGTCGTCAGCATACATTGCAGCATGTGAGTTCTCCAAGCAGTCAGGGAAATCATTAATATAAGTAAAAAAAGAAGAGGACCAAGGTTTGATCCTTGTGGAGCCCCACAATTTACCTTCGTAGAGGACCATGTTGCACTATTGACCACGCAGAATTTTTTCTATTAATGCAAATACGATTTAACTAAACCGGTCAAGGCATTTGTTTTGAATTCCGTTAATAAATAACTTTTTAATAAGGATATTATGATAAACTGTGTCAAATGCTTTGCATAAATCATGGAAAGCGACATCGTTTATCATCCCGGCATCCATATTGAGAAACTATTAATCAATAATTTCTAAAAGAGCCGTTGTAGTTGAATGACCTTTTCAAAACCCAGATTGACATGGAGTCAGGATATTCTTTTCGGTTAAAAACATTTTGAGTTGTGAACAAACAAGTTTCTCAAAACGTTTTGCAAATATCAAGAGTATAGAAACAGTTCGATAATTACCTCCTACCTTTCTGTCACAGGATTTATAAATTGGACTCACTCTTGCTATTTTGATAGTACTATCAATAATTGTTTGCAGGTTAGCAAATAGATATTTAATACATCAACTAGTTAAGAAATGTAATTTGAAAAATATATTGCCGAAAGAGCGGTATAAAAACATAAATATAATAGAATTTTTTAGAACAAATTAATCTGGACTGAAAACAATGTCAATATATAGATGTGAAATGAACAAGCGCTTGTTCTGTATAAAAGCCTTCAATATATAAAAAATTACGAGTTTTCAGTAATTCTTGAAGTATTATTAAAAGAAATAGCAGCAGTAGTTTATCAAGTTTATGGCAACTTGTTTCAATTAACCGCCCAAATATTCCCATACACGCGAGTCTGTCAGCTCAGTCGAAATCTATGTACGCATCGAATTGGCTATCAGCTCATGTAAGACTCGAGTTCAGAGAATAACCATCCAATATAGGGCGAGTAGCACTGGCAATTTTTTGAAAAACCATGGAAAGTCATAGAATGGAAATTGTATGGACCTTTATTGGAAATAGAATGGATTTTGGTTATCCATAATAATTGTATATTTCTATAGTATGGATATTGCGTGGAAATGGTATGGATATACTATGGATTTAGTGGTGCAATTGCAAATTTCGTTGTATGGATTTCACATTTTTTCACCAGTGTTGCTCAACCAATCAGATCGCAGAATAGTTCGTAATGGTGGATGACTGTATTAAAATGTATAATTATCCAGTTATTTGTTAGTCGAAGTTATTCTTACACATATTTTCGCACGATGACAATATTATACTGCGCATACGCGTAGATAAGAATATTAATGTAATCATATACTTACCGGCGGTAGAGGAATCCGTTACAGAATACAACTCAGTTGTGGATACAATAGTCAAGAAAACTAAGAAGATTACATCCATTGCGAGTCCAAACCAACGTGCTGCCACATAATAAGCATACATAGCTTCGTGATGACGGTCAGTGAGACTAAATAAAATTTAGAGTAGGAAAGCTACATTTAATTAATGAGATTCGTCACTCCAGGGGCAGGTTGTACGAAAGGTGGATAACTTATCCAGTGAATAAGTCCTATCCAATGGACCAATTTACTATCCAACGCTGGAAAACATTTTGAGAATACATAGAAGGTTATTGAATGGAAATTGTTTCGACCTTTATTGGAAATAGAATGGATCTTGGTTATTCGTAATAATTGTATATTTCCATAAGTATGGATATGGTATGGAAACAGCATGGATATACAACTGAGTTAGTGGTGTAATTTCAAATCTCGTAGCATGGATTTTAGTTTTTTTCCCAGTGCAATGGATAGCTATCTGCCGGAATTAAAAGGCGTTGTACGAAGCACGGATAGCAGGGTGGATAGCTATCCGTCGGATAACCTTAATTTTAACCGGAGAAAAAAGGATTTTCCTGAAATTTATTAATTCTATGTCGAATGTTGCTAGGATTTCGGTAATCGTTAGTTGTAGCATCTTCGTATAACTTGTGAATTCCACTAACTTTTGAATGTATCAACTTGCAATAAAGGTTTTTTGTTCATGTTTATATTTGGACTAGTTTTTCTCGTTGCAATATTTCGTTTTCCCACAGTGAAGGGTTTGCTATCTACTTATCGATATTTCTTTTTAAAAAATTTTTTACTTCTTTATGCGAAGGAAATAGCAAAGACTGCAAGTTTTGTTTTCTTGTTTCAATTTTAAGTACATTTTCTCGCAAGATTTGATTGGCTGATCAAAGGAATTATTAACGGTGATCGAACAAATGAATGGTGTTCTTGTTGTCTCTTCTTGTGTATATTTGTTCGACTTTGAAGGGAAGTCATTGTTTGTTTTAACATCTTGAAATTTAATGTTTGGTTTCAAACTAGATAATAGAAGCAAAAAAGGGAAAATGCCAGAATACTTAACGTATAAGCAGTGACACTGGTCTGCGTAAACAAGGACGTATGGGCCTAATCTTGTTTGGGGGAGGGGGCACAGTATAGTTTGCCCGAACAGGCAAACTGAACATTAATATTTCTCCCCAAAATTGTTGGCTAGCGGGGGGGAGGGCACCAAAAATATTTCTCCGGACATACCAAATACCTTTCTACAAACATACGAAAATTTTGCCGGACATATCAGAAAATTTTCCCTAACATCACGTAATTTTCGCAAAGATACAAAAATTTTTTCAGGACATCAAAATTTTCCCGAAATTGTTATGTTTTGCCCGAACGTCGCATTAATTTTTGCCCGACCGTAAAAATATTGGGAGGCCACGTGCCACCCCGTGCCCCCCCCCCTCCCCCCCCGGCACACACGCCTATGTGCGTAAAAGATGGCAAAGTCATGGCATTATTTAACAGGCAAGTAGGCTCGGTGTACGTCAAGAGCGAGAGACGTCATGACTCATAGGTAAGTTTCCAGGTTAATTTGGTGTCAAAAAAGGGACGTCTTTTAACGGTTTTGTCCATTTCTATCACAATGGCATTTCTATCACAATGGCAATTGTTTTGTTTTCAAACTTCGAGTTTATCTGCCAGATAGTTTATTTAAACTACCTCCGGTCCTCGGATAAATTTATGCCACGGTTAGTGCGTTTTTTAATAAAAAATCAAAATAACAATCCAGTTTCGTACAACAACCGGCCCAAGTAGTTTGAAAGTTGGAATTTTCGCAAACAGAACTTGATATAAACAATGCGTTTGATATTATATACATAAAAATATTGCTCCACTGTGAATGGCTGAATTCCATGCAATTAATCTCAAATAAAAGTGCAAAATTCTGAAACAACAGCGCAAAATTCTGCAACAACACTGCAAAAATCCATAACAACAGTGCGAAAATCTGTAACAAATTGACGCAATTCGTGGAAAAAAAAACAATGGGATCTAAATCAACAAATTTTGACCTGAGGATAATGTGTCAACATTGTCCAGAAACAATAGAAATGGATTGAATATTTTCATTCTCTGACGACAACACTTGTATTCATTATTTTTAATCATTGAATGACGAGATATTCATCTGTCCCGGGGTCGTAGCTGATGGAAGATGGATGACTTTGGGACAGAGTGAATTTGTTCAAAGTTGCTGTTCAAATATAAATTTTTCAGACTTAGGAACTTCATCATTTCTTACTTTATCTGGCTCACTAGTGACTATTGGGGCCTGTTCATATGACCTGACTTGGAGGGAGACAACATTTTCAATTCCATTTTTTTGGAAATACTATCCTGCTACTATCCTGTCGAAGTGCGAGGTATCCGTTGCCAGAATTCCAGCTTTGCAAGCCAAGAAATTCACCATGATATACCGTACAGTAAACAGTCCATCCCAACCAGGCAACATGAACTTGCTTTCAAGAATGTGTTTTGCATAGCCTAGGTCATATAAACAGTTCCCCAATAGATCTTGAAACTACAATTGGAAACTATTTTGTACATGCATGCTCGTGTGGCGTGGGCACATCGCGCTTGTACAGGTCGCAAACGTTAAGTTCCTAAGTTGTCGTAGCCTTTGGCGCGAAAGAACACTCACAAAACAGAAGAGCACGTTTTACGTAGGGACAAGCTTTTGTATTTTTGGGACTTATTAAGACAAAGGCCGAGTCATCGCCGTGGTTCACTCGGCCAAAAACATGTAAGGTAAAGATAAAAATGACATAAAGATTTTTATGAACATTTACAATTTCAGTCCATAATCTTGTGCATTACCAGATACCTGTCCATATATTATTGTAATCTAGTCCACTGTTAACCCAGTAACCTCCCAAATAAGCCTACGTACAAAAAGTAAGCTCTTCCTTTCTAGAAGAAGCTCTTTCATTTAAGAGTTGCGAATATCGGCCATGTCAGCCCAACAAACATGGCTACATTTCAACTCACAGTTAGTTTGTCATTTGCCCCACTGGAATCAGGCTAACCTGGAAAGTGTTGGCAAGAACTGTGTGTGAAAAGATAGTTAAATTGTTAATGGTCACTGATTCAGAAGGTTTAGATTAATTACGTTCTTACTTGCTTAGGCCAAATTGTGTATTATAACATGATTTGTAGTCTAGTACGCTGGTTGGCCAGCTTCTGACCATTAGTATAAGATTCCCAATGCTGGCCGCCGGGATATCAACTTGCTGAAGTAGAAACCTGGCCATTCAATTCACTGGCCTTGGTGCATGCGAATGTAATCTCAAAAAATATGTAGAATTAAAATATGCCACAGTACCTCAACACGGACAGGTATATTTTAAGCGCATATAAATGAGCAAGGCCAACTTGCCGGGCGGGACATCATTCTAGAGTACCGGATTGATTCTACAAGACTAAGACCCCGTTGTGACTAGTGAGCCAGATGAAGTGAGAAACAATGAAGATCCTATGCCCATAAATTTTGATATCTGAAAGTTACAGTAACATTGAACAAAATCATTCCGTGCTAAAGTCATTCATGTTCCTTATGTTAGGACCCCGAGACTAATGAATATGTTGTCATTGAAAGATTAAATATAATGAAAACTAGAAAATACATGCATGCAGAAACCCTCGCCTTGCTGACACAACCATTGTATTTTCCGAACATGAAGTATCTAAAGTAGTTGTCATGGTAACACGATAATTTTTTAAGAATATTCTTACAAATGAAAAATCGCCTAAAAATATCACTTTTAATTACAAAATTATCAATTTCCCAACATATATATGTTAGGTATGTGATTATACGTAATATTACTGTAGCTTCAATTTAAGGTAAAATTCAACCACAAACGCTTCGCAAAACGTTTTAAATTAAAGTGTTCTTTAAAAAACTAGACTGCCTTTAATTAAATGGCTTTATCGATAAACATTGAGTTTGCAATAAAATTATTTCAAATTCTTGCATGCAAGTAACTTTGCTTTCTTTTTTACATAAAAAATTCAGTATAATAAAAAAGGGAATCAATATTAATAATACACTGAAATTATATGCTGTCTTGTTTAGTTGTTTCATATACGCAAAGTGCCAAAGGGCCAAAGGCCGTCGGGTTTTAAAGCAATTATAAAATCAATATTTAAAACAAGCTTACCTTCGTAAACGTCGGCTCCCTTCTTTTAGCCGATTCTTTCGCCCTTTCTTTCTGAGAAAGGTTTTGAAATTTACAAAATCTTGCAAAAATGCTAGCAAAAATGAAATATATTTGCAAGAAATTTATCAATCATCAAATCAAGAAATGTTTGCTATTTCGCTGTCGTCATGCATTCGTTATGATGCAAATTTTAAATTGGACCAATCAGTGTCCACTATTCATGACAGTCCGCCATATTTTTGAGATCTGTGAAAATGACCACCAACCCAACACCGTTGGTGAGCCACGCCCGCGATCATTAATGAACTTTAGACTTCGCAAATGCTTTCGTTTCCACGGGTGTAAATAGGCGGGGGGAATTAGTACCCTCGCACGGCGCTTTGCGCCTTGGACTCGGGGACAAGTGTTATTGTCAGAAAAACGAAAATATTCATGTCACTTAACGGCCTGAAACACGCTTATTCTGATTGGCTTAGAACTAAATGTAAACGAATTCGCTTTTTGGTCGACAACAAAATTTTCATTTTGCTTCGCGTAGAGCAGGATAAAGGGGCAATGATGCAATGTACGAGCTTCCCGATACGCTTTGCTACATTCTTGTGCGGCAAAAAAGAGCTTTTTGTTAAAAACGTAACTGAACCAAAACATGTCGATTTATCAAGTTTTCGGACTTGAAGGCCAACAATGTTCAAATATCGCTATTTCATACCTCAGCAAAACTTTTGTGAATTCTTTCTGTCTATTATGCACGCGAATAATCCTCAATCCCTCCATGGTGTTTGAAAAGTGAGAATACAGCGGACTGCCAGCTTGAGACATTAAACGTTTGATGTCCATCGCAGAATTAAAGTGTTGCTTATCAAACACAAGATAATAGCTCCCGGGCAAAGCGCCGCATCGTGAAAGAAATTGACCAAATAAAATGGCAGAAGATCGTCTAGATTGTTGATGTCTTGCGACAATCTGTTCAGAATACGACCAGGTGGGTTTACGGCGTAAAAATGACTTGGAACTTGAAGGAGACAAGATACCATTTTGTTGTGGAGTTTGTAGTTTGCTCTAATCGGTACGAGAAAAATGCAACATTTCGCAAGGGTGGTGACTAATACAGCAGCAATCAAAGATATTGGATATACATATAACGCTGTGTGAAACTTGTCTGTCTGGTTTGCCAAATGTGGTAATGATGACACTTGAATGTCCACCCACAAGATCAATCCTAGCAAAAACAAAGCGATTAAAAATAATTGGCAAGAAAATATTTCAATATAGTACGTACAATACGTACCAATCGAAATTTTAATAATAATGAATTTTTTTGCCCAGATCATTTATATTGTTCTATTCCAAAGCCTACTCGCGGGTACTAAAAATAGTCTTAATTCGCATACACTGGAAAAAAATTTTGAAATCGATAGAATTGGTCATAGAATAGAAATTGTATGGACCTTTATTGGAAATAGAATGGATTTTAGTTATCCATAATAATTGCATATCTCCATACTATGGATATAGTATCAAAATAGTATGGATATACTATGGATTATGTGGTGCAGCTTCCCAGTGTCAAAGTCGCACCATGGATTGTAAAATAACTGGATAGGAAACTTCTGACGTCATTGACCGCATCCTTGTTGAAAAACGTGACGTCACGCGTATTGCGAATTTTACCAAAGTTATCGACATTTTTGTTGTTTTGCTATATTTTCCACTTTAAAAGGGTGATATTGAAGCATGAACTGGTCTAATCGTTTTAAAAACATGCCTAAGCCACGACAAAGTATTCAAGGTAAATGTTTTTCGTCTTTGTTTTGTATTTTTTTTTACATTTGTAGCTACGAAATTGGCGTCACCAATTTTAACGAAATTTGCGATTTATTTTTCACTGATTAGTGCTTGAAAAATGTGCTAAAATTGGCTCGGAATACTTAGAGTTTTCATCGTAGAATGGCGTGATTATATTTATTTGCTCTTTGACTAAAATGTTTAGCTGTATTATTGCTATAATCATGCTGTTTTTGAGAATTTGGTTTTCAACTAGGTTGGGACATCCAACCACGCCATCAGCCCATTTAAAACATTAGGTCACGTCAGCTAGTTTCCTATCCATTTACTTTATTATCCATGGTCGCACCAAGTCGCACAACAACTACAGAAAGCTCACAAACCTAACCACTATTGTCCCAGTTTACGAAGGCTCAGAACTTACTTCTGTTGCAATTGTTTTCTATGTTCTGATAAAGTAGAACAATAGAAGCTGGCTCAAAAATTGTAAAGTAGCTGGCAATGATGTAAACAAACGTTCAATGAGCTGATTCGATTATATTGTTCTGCATTAGGTTTTACCTTGTCCCGCTACAATTGCCAATAAAATCAGAAATAGAATTGTCACTGGCGCTCCATGCGTGAAATACTTTGCATGAATTTTGATGGAAACATTTCCAACCTGGCGATCTTCTTCTGCTTCACGTAACTGTTCAGTTTGTGCTGAATCATCGCCATCTTCCACATGATAAAGATCGTCATCAATATGTTCTACAGTGTTCTCATTATTCTCTGGGATCTCCTTTTTTACTTCTTCCACTGTTCCCTGAGCTAAAACTGCACCTGCATCAAAATCATATTGTATAATTATTATCGTCGTCAATATCGCAGGTGGTAGAGAAAATGCTCGTACAAATCATTTTGTTATTTTAGGAATATTTTATATTCGGTCTTATTTTTTAATGATGAATCTGTATTATTAAAAAAATGGAATTGTTAGAAAACGCGATACTTAGTTAAAATATTAAGCAAACGAATCCAATTCCCTGAGATATTCAATTTTCTTCTTCAAATATAGCGTTCTGGACAATTGAGTCTTTTTTTGTTAACACAGGATTTGATTTGGAATCGCATTGTGGCTGCGCAAGGAAAGTTGTAGTTGGACATTCCATCATTTAGACTTTCATTCGGCTTGCACGTGCTCGCAGAAATATTTGAACTTTGGCACAGGGGATTTGGAAGCCAAGTTTAAAACACTAACGAAGATTTGAAATTGCTTGTTATACATCATTAGATATTCATAAAAATGAGGCATGAAATGATTAGATATTCAAAAATGTGAGCGTGGGACATTAAAGATTGCATTCGCTTTAAAGTTTGCATGAAGTGTCAAGTGTAGCGAAGCATTCAATTCGCTTTCGTCATGAATAGATTCATTTTGTTGGCAATAGAGCATGGCATCTTCTTATAATATTAGAAAAAGCGGTTTCGAGAACCAGAAAGTGTTGAGCACAGTACTGAAAATGTAAAGAAAGCCATTCGCCATCGCTGACAAGGATGGAGATCCGAAAAAACGATATATCAGATTGTGTGTACGATAAGGCTCTATCTGGTGGAAAATGAAAGAGCCGACGTGAATATATATTAGACGGTAAACATTACTGGTAAGTTGGTGTATTACTGCTGTAGTACTTAAAGCGCTGTTTATTATGATAGTTGGTAAAAATCTTAATTTTCCTTTTCGTATATTTATGTAGTTTTCAAACGTTCAGAAAAAGTGTTAGATGTATAAAGTGTAGATAGAAAAAATTTCTAAATACATGTTACTGAATTTAGAAATAATTCTGAACATAGCAATTAAATATATTTATATATAATCAGTTATGTACCCCTCAACTTCCCCATTGTTCAAAGCCCTTCCCACTTGAAGTAATTAAAGTCCTGGTCTAGACGGGTATACAGATAGATACACGTGATGTAAATTACGCCATATCATTGGCCGAAATGCTATGAATATCTAATGATGTACGAGACATAAATTTCCTTGTTTCTATTCGGAATTACCGTTCTTTTGTAGTTTGTCAAAATATTTAGTGGTTTCAGTAATCTATTGGGTTAAATTCTGATGTTTTGTATTTTTACGCCATGCGAGTTTGCATGAATAGATGACCGCCAACATTACATTTATTTACTTCAAATTGAGTAGCCAGCCAGGGTGACCACTGTTTTGGTTAATGCAAAACAGAAAGTATCTCTTTTGCTTGTTTTCAATAACTTAAACATTTTTGTCAGTTTTGGCTATTCCGTGTTTGTTATCTGCAAAGGACAATGTGGATTGTACTCGAACATCTATAAAATTAATATCTTCAATGCACAAAATTATAGTATAGATATAATTTGAAGACTGTAAGTTCATACCTTTATCCAACATTATGATGTAGTCAGCTTCATTGAAATGTTTGTGCGTGACTAAGAACACAATCCGTTCTGATAACATTCTTTTTAAAACATTTTTAAAAATATTTTCTGCGATCTTGGCATCTAAAGAACTTAAAGGATCGTCCATTAGATATATATCGGCCCGTGAATAAACCGCGCGTGCCAGGGCTAGGCGTGCCCGCTGTCCACCACTCAATGTTGCACCGTGTTCTCCAATACGAGACAAGTCCAATTCCGGGAATCCCTTAAGATCTTTTTCCAACTGGCAAGCTTCGATAATTTCTAAATACCATTTTTCATCATATGCTGAACCGAATAATATATTCTGTCGAATGGTGCCTGGAAATACCCACGGTTTATCTGAAACATAGGCGATGTTTCCAGAACGCTTTATTGTTCCCTTGGTAATACGAAGTTCTTTATTAAGAATGCATGCAAGCAATGACGACTTTCCACTACCGACAGAACCAGTGATAATAACCAATCCCTTTGATGATATCTTAAAAGAAATGTCCTTTAACAGTGATACACTGTTTTCCTGAAGATTTGAAACCCCTGATGTCGGTAAATTACATGACACATTATCTAGCCAAACGTAGGGAGTACAGTTTAAATGCCCCGAAGCTTTCATCTCTTCATGAGTTGACTGTTCAACACATTCTGACTGGTCACCTGCAGGAACTCGATTCTCATCGGTCGTGGCATCCATGAAATCATAGCTTTCCAGGAAACGCTGTATCCGAGTAAGCGCCATAATTATGTTCGTCGTAAAATGAGTTGACAGTGGGATTTCGAAAAGAACTACATCGTTGATGTTTGCAAAGAGCAACATCATTGTGATCAGATGGTAAGGTGTAAGTATGGACTTGTCCGTCCATGTCAGAACCATTATTGTCACAAATGTTGAAAGTTGTTGCCCAAACGTAGAAAAAGAAAAACTGACGGACGAAATGATCAACCGTTTCGCCTTAAATTTGATTTCTTGCCTAAATAAGATAAAAAAGAATCACGGTATTTCTAGTGTAATTCGTATTTTACCACAGTACATTGCCTTTTCATTTTACAGCCCAATTTGCAGACTATCGCCATCGTATCGATCGATAAATGAATCTAAAACATCTATATTGGCAACTCTTTTCGAAATAATAAACAGTTTTTCGATATTATCTTGTCTAATATTTAATTAAAATTAACTAGAAGTACGTCCAGGTTGCCACCCGTTACATTTGCGAACCTAACATTTATATAGTTCACTGTAGTTATTTGAGGAATATATAACTTAATAGAAAAAATACATTCATGCAACAAGACCTCGTCTACATTTATATATTCCATCATGTCATGCATGTTTCCACCATAATGTTTCGTCATGAAATATTCTTAATTACGCCAATATTGATCGGAGGTTGGCGTTACTCGCGTCATTATATGAATTTTCATGCTGCCAGTTCATCAGGGTTTTTTTAATTTCTTTTGAAAACGGAAAAAAATAAAAAGTGTAACGCTGTCAACTAAAGAACTATCAGTATGTCAGTAGACATGTAACAAGTGAGACCAACAAGTGAAGGTATATCAAAAATGATATCTTTGACGAGTTCAACGTACTTCTTTTGGACATAATGATTGAAAGCCTGCATGGGAATACGGGGGCTTTTGAATAGCGAGTTCACCGAAATCCTGCTCGCTCAAAGCATGGACGAATTATACGTCAACGTAACAGGCGATTGGACAGGAACCAGGCCGGATTTCATCAAAACACCAGCAGATTACTGATGTATTAAAGTTGTTTTGTTTATAATAAAGCTAATGTATATCATTTTTAGTGCATAACTATTTTCGCAGAAAACACTATTTTTGGCTCCCCGTACTGTATGTAAATATTCACCGGTAGCGCGAAGCATCACGGTTGACAGTGATTCTTTAAATGTTAATAATTTTATTTAGATATAGGTCAAAAACGATAATGTGCACTGCAACGTTTTAAAGCGGACGCAGGCATGCTCTAACCAGGGCGCTTAAATATAGGGGGTGCAGCGGGAAAGGACTGCCACGTGCGTGCTTTTCGGCAAAAGTTGACAAGGAGTTTGATTTTTCCTACTATTGTGTTTTCACTGTTTTTTCCGTAACTACGAAATTCTTGAGGATGTTGTTGCCCTGTAACGGCGAAGTCAAGTAACTAGTGTTTCGTACGAATGCTTGTTTGGCCTGTATATTTGACTTCGATAGAGGGAAAATTTCGAAACAGCGTTTGAGCTTGTTATCAAGTCGTCCAAACTACGAAATTCCGTTGATGGTAAAGATTATGATAATGTGCTTACCTGCAAACGTTCCCATAAATTTGAGCATTTGAATACCCAGCATTGGATAGTGAGGTATTTTTGTGTGTTAAATTTTGCCTCGCTATAGACCATTAGTTCGCTGCACGGTGGGCATAAAAGACAGCGAATTTGGCCAAGTACATATAACTTTCTCTCGTTAGTTTCGAATATCACGAAACTCCCTCACAGAATAGAACTTAACATTCCTAAAAATCGTATGTTTTTTGTTTTTCGATTTTGTTACATTTTGGCGGGAAAATGACGTGCCAACTTTGGCGCCAAAAAATTAAACACGAGCTAAGAACATACTAGTAACTTTTTCGAAAAGACTGTCATATAAGGATCTCAAAACTGTAAAAACATTAAAAATACAACAAGGCAGTGCGAAGATATGGCGATCAAAGTTAGAAGAAAAATTAATTTTTAGTAACAAAATGGCTGATTTTTCAGTAAAATGTAACAAAATCGAAAAAAGAAAACATACGTTTTTTAGGAATGTTAAGTTCTATCCTGTGAGGGAGTTTCGTGATATTCCAAATTAACGAGAGAAAGTTATATGTACGTGGCCAAATTAGCTGTCTTTTATGCCCACCGTGCTGCAAAAGGATAAAACAGCAATTGTATTTTAGCTATGTCATTTTGTTATAATATTAATAAGTTTGTATGACTTTTAAGGCATTCGATTGAAGTAATTTACTTCTGGGCCATTTATGAAAATACGAGTCGCTCGGACGTATGTTGAGCGCAACAGTCAAAGAAATTTCGTCCAAACTTTGAAATTTTTTGACCGGCTGGCCAAGACGACTTCTCGTAAGAGTTCGTTAGGAAAATACAAATTCAAGTTAAGCGTTTCTTGATTTTCAATTGAAAATATCAACTATAGTGGCTAATATTAATTGTGAGTGGTTGTCGCTGCATGAGATTTATTGTAATCACTGTATTGACTGCATGAGCTAGGCCTGAAGTTGTAGCTAGTCTGTAATGTTCGCCTGGTGTAAGTTACTGCCTATTCTGCATTATTGTTTGTTTCTAGTGGCAATAGTTCAGTATTCTTATATAGAGTTAAATAGACAAATTTCGTACAAACTAACCACTGTACAAATACAGAAAATGCAGAATAGTCACCAACTAAAATCAAGTCAACATTACGCTAAATACTTCGTCAGACTTTGATTTATAGCCAGCGACTGAGGCAAGTTGCAAACGACCTACGATATTCTCTGATTTGGGGATTTACAGCATCGCGTAATATAATCCCCGAGCCAACGGCGCGGAGTCCCGTTCTGGGCGTAAGCCCGGGACGAGGGTACTAATTCCCTCCGGCTATTTACACCGGGGAAACGAAAGCATTAGCGTAGTAGGGCTGTTCACACATAGCAACGTTGAGATCGGTCTAATTTTGGATCGATCTTGTAGCGATCCGAGATCGCGCGAGCCAAATTTAGTGGAATGTCCACACTTGCACAGAACTTTTGCAGTTAACGTACCAAATTATGGGGACTGGGGTCAAGAATCAAGATCAATTTTCAATATGGCGGATTCGGACACCGCGATTGTGGGATTGGCAATAATAGCAAGAGATTTAGCTAAGAGGTTAAAAAGGAGACAAAGAGTTTTCTTTCGCAGAAAGAAAAAAATGGCCATTTTATTTCTCAGACTAAGTGAAATCTATCTACGTCGAGAGACGGTGCTAAGAAGGTTCTGGCAAGAGCCAAGCAGAGGGAAAAGTTTATTTTGGGAAAGAACCGCAAGCCAGTGGGTCGATGACAATCTCTGGGTTGAAAATTTCCGCATGTCGAGAAATTCTTTTCTTGCAATCTGTAGAGAATTAAGCGAAGTCTTACACAAGAAAGATACAAGGTTTCGTAAAGCCATTACTCTCGAAAAAAGAGTAGCTGTTTGCTTCTGGCATCTTGCAACAGGCGAAGACATGAGATCTTTAGGCTGGCGATTTGATATTGGCAAGAGTACAGCTTGCCAAATTGTTAATGATGTGTGTGAGGCTATAGCTGTTGTGCTTTTACAAAATGTCATTAAATGGCCAACAGGAGAGGCATTGAAATCCGCGTATTAAAAGGGTTTAAAGAAGAATGGCAATTTCCACAGTGTGCAGGTGCTATAGATGGGACACATGTCCCAATTGCTGCTCCATCAGAATACCCATCCAATTATTATAACAGGAAGTGTTTCTACTCAATTATCATGCAGGCTGTAGTGGATCATGCATACAGGTAAACAATAAAAGTGCAAATAAGTTCATAACTTGCAACCTTTATAGTGTATATGTAATCTACAAGATACTCTTTTAAATACTTTTAGATTTATAGACATCTATAT